GTGCCTCAATTTGTTCATCTATAAAACGTGGATAACTATAGTACATACTTACAGAACTGCTGAGATTAATTTAAGCAATGTACTGAAAACAGAGCCTGACACATAGCGAGCACTGTGTTACTGTGTTGTTGTTGCTACTCATTACACTTGATGGGAAAAATGGTGTTTCATTTTTATTTGAATTTTTTTTGCTCACCAGTGAATTTGAAAAATTCTTCCACATTTATTAAACATTTGTACTCCTTCTCTTTTGAACTATTCACCCATGTTCTTTGTCCATTTTCTACTGGGATAGTCTTCTTTTTATTAATTTATAAAAACTCCTTATGTAACGAAGCCCTTATCTGTCATAAATGATTTTTTTTCTCTTACATCCTATTTGCCTTTTAGTTTTATTTAAACATAAAAGTTTATTTGGATATGAATAAATTTATTAATCTTTTCTTTATATTTCTGCCTTTGGTATTATACTTAAACCTGTACCATACCAAGATAATTGATTAAGGTCATTCGTAGGTTTAGCAACAGTAATGTCAGGAAAGTGGTAATTTCAGGAGAAGCCGGAGTACAATATGCTAGGTAGTAAAAGCTTAAAAAAAAAAAACTAAGAGAAAGTGAAATTGAGAGAGAGCAAGTAAGAAAGTCATAAAAGCAATAATCTGTATGGCACATTGGCAAAGCACCCTCACTATAGACATACATGAATTCACTGTATGTCTGAAACTAATGAACATATAATTCACCCAACTTGCTCTTTTCTATTTCCATTCATAGCAAGCAGGCTTCCAGGTATGATTTCCTTCTAGGAGAAAATGACCTTGTCATGAAACTCTTTTAAAATTTCTGTGACTGTTTACCATATTTCTCATTGTAAATTAATAAATACACGTTTTCATCTACCAATACTAAATTTGTTTAATTTTATTTTGCCTCAAAAAAATGATCCAATATCCTTAAATGACAGACATCACATTCTGGACCTGCAAGAGTAAGGTCAGAACACAGCCTCTGGTAAAACTGAGGTGAGAATTATGCCTTATGAAATTTTGTGGGAAAGAGCCTTTCAATGCCTTATAAAACATTATAACCATTTCCATTTCAAAATTTCTGTAGGAAATGAGAATGTCTTTAGCAAATTGAAGAAAAACAAGAAATGAACCATTATCTTAGCATTACAGCATCATCTGTGAGTTAAAGAAGAAAAGTCATTCCAAACATATTTTCAAGTCCAG